ACGTGTCATATAGTGAAAACCAGAAATCTAAGAAACAGCAAGGAAGCATTTGAGAAAAAAAACCCCAAAGAGCAAACATGATAGAAAGTCAAATTAAAGTTCAGAACATGAATTTTACAAGGTCCTATTTAACCACTTCTCAAAATAAGTACTTAGAAAACATGCCATGTATAAAATTTGTAAGTATATAGATACCAAAAGATTATAAAATATTAAACATATATTACCAATTCTTTGAAATTAGATAAATCTACTAGGTGGTTTTTTAAAAAAAAAAAAAAAACCAAAACTTTTTATTGTGAATTGAGTGATAGTTTACATGGGAGAACATCAGTTTTACCCTCATCCTATCATATCCCTGCAATGGTTACAAACCCCTCCAGGCATCAGCATTCAACAGTACTTGCTACTATTCCCTCTGTTGTTTTGTTTTTTTGGATGTACACAAAAACACTCAGAAATGTATAATCATTTAAACAACTAAAGGACACATTCTGCAAGCCTGCCTCCTGGCCACCAGCACACAGCCTTTCTCTTCCCATGAGTCTAGAGTCCTCAGCTGCTCCCTCTTCATGTCATCATCTCTGCCTCCATCTATGGTGTTGCTGCTTCTCTGGATAGGGCCCCACATTCCACTCGTCCACTTCTCCCTTAATGGTCCTCTGTTCTGGAATATAAAATGAACTACTCCCTGCTTTTTGTTACAGAACTTCTACCATTACAGTTGTGACCATCACAATTAGTCTTGATAACAATTATTCATTATTGAATCATAAGCATCTTATCCCCATCTCCTTTCACCAGACCCATCTAGACAAGATGAAAACTTCAGTGGGAATTCTACCTTCCCCTGCACACTCTAAAACTAAACTCCCTCTTGAAACCTTGGTAAGTCAGTCACTTTGTGTCTTTATTAGCAACCTCTCAATTTTAGGTGCTGGATTCAGAAGAGGCCGTGGAACGAGAGATATCATTGCTGATGTCCGATGGATCTTGGCTGAAAGCAGAGAATATCAGAAGGATGTTTACCTG